CTCTCTCTCTCTCTCTCTCTCTCTCTCTGATCTCTGTCTCTGTCTCTCAACAGCAGTTTACACCAATCAGGATCCATCCCTCAGGGCTGGAACCTAGGCTCAGCCCCCCCAAACCTGACCCCCTGCCTCATTTGAATGGCTTCTCCCCAATAAAAGGGGTCATCACGCGCGCGCTCTCTCTCTCTCTCTCTCTCTCTCTCTCTCTCTCTCTCTCTCTCTCTCTCTCCCTCTCCACAGTCCCCTAAGATCAGAGGAGCCGTCACAGGACCCGAAGACAAAGGTATCTCTGTCTCTTGTGTGATTATTTCGTGAGCCCAGTTCACCTGGTGTGACCCTGAGTGTTTTGGTCGTGGAACTCGACAGCTCTCTTCACAGTTATTCTCAGGAGCAGCAGAGTAGCATCTGCCCAGTCCCTCGTGCATCATGCTTAATAAATATTACTGGCCAAAATGCCATGAATTCTTGTGAACTTTGTTATTTCTGAAATGACATTAAAAACTTGGTGGATTCAGATGTTGTCACAAGCATGCACTGTATGAGGCCTAGGAAGGGGAATGTGTGTGGCGCCGTGCTCACATGAGGGCCACTGCTTTGCTGGTGGCGGCGTGCTCTCGCTGGCCTCAGCAGTGTGGAGGATACCTGCCTGTCAGTTCTGTCCTGTTTTAAAAACATTTGAATGTGCTGCATTACTTTAAAGATTCACACACTTGATTAGATTTTAAGTCAACAGTGAGATTTTGTGGCATTCTTAGAGTCTGCATYAATTAGCCCTATATAGCCTTTTCTCTGGGAACCGAGGTGTGGTGCAGCCTCTCCTGGGCCTTTGCCACTCTAAATCCTGTCCAGGTAAATATGAAGCTGGTGCTACTATCCTTCTTTGAAGGGACATTAACATTTTTTAATTTAGACAACCCGATACCTTTCTCCCTGGTTACAAAATCATGCCTGTTGTAGAACATTTAAGAAATGGGTGGAAGTAGGAAAGCGGTACTCTTGATACAGCCCCCTGCCGTGCGTGCATGGAGTGCACCTGCACCTGTCGTTCAGTCTCTTGGCGGGGAGGCCGCAGGCGTGGCCTTGACTTCTGCTCTTGGTGTTGATATCATATGCTCTCAACAGCTTCCTGTGCCAGTCACCACACAAAAATAAGGTTGCAGTGGATGAATGGTGGAATGTTTAAAGTAAATAGGACACCAGAACAGACCTGGCAAAGTATGCGTGGACACTGAAGTAATAATGGAATCGAAAGGGGCCTGGAATACCAAGCCTGGGGTGAAGAGTGCTTGCCTTGCATGCACAGGCCCTGGGTCCCTTCCACGCCTAGTTCCAGAGGGGAAGAAAAGAATGAGCAAAGGAAAAGCACAACCGTAAAGGAAAAAGGATTTGGCAGGGCAGAGTGATGTTCTGCCACYGGAAGGTCCTGGGGAGTGATGTGGACACTTCCCGGCCCTGCCTTCATTCTCCAGGAGAGATCTCAACCTTCATGCCTCCTCAGATGGACTTGGAGTAAAAACCCAAAACTTAAGTCCTTAGTGATCCACTCTTCCTCTTCATCCCATGCCCACCTTCCCCAAAGTGTGTCAGCTAAGCCACTCTCTTTTCCTTGTGTTCCCCATAGGTAGCTGCAATTAACCCAAACCACCCGCTTGCCCAGATGCCTTTGCCCCCGTCAATGAAAAACTGCATTCAGCTGGCAGCCTGTGAGGCCAACGAGCTTCTGCCCATGATCCCCGACCTTCCTGCGGACCTGTTCACATCCTGCCTCACCACTCCCATCAAGATCGCTCTGCGCTGGTAAGAGCCTGCTGGGGCCGGGTCCCAAGTCACAGGGTCTGAGGCTGCAGCCCAGGTCTCCTGAGGCAATACAGCAGGAGCATGCTAGTCTCCCTTGACTCACAGGACTCCAGGCAGATGCTTGTGAGTGGAAGGTGCTTCTCCCTCTGGATCAGGTCACATGCAGCTGGCTACTTTGCAATTTCTAAGAACACCTTGTGCACATCTTTTAAAGTGTAGAAGCGTTGTTGCCATCAGATCGGTAGTTCTGGTAACCAGCTTGCGTTTGGGGAGAAAAGGCTATTATGAAAAAGAACTCATTTCATTTCTTGTCCAGGTATAATCTCCAGTATTCTCACCAGTAAAGAAGAAGGCCACAGCCTCTTTCCCACCACAGTTCTCAGAGTCCAGAACACTGGGGAATATTCTGGGAATTACCCAGATGGGTGAGCTTGCCCTTGAGACCCATGTCTCTGGCAGTGCTTACGGAGGGCTGTGTGTGTGCTGCTGACAATCCAACTTCCTGCCCAGGCCATCCTGCCCTCTTCTGTTGTGGGGGTGGTGTGGGGTGCAACCCAGGGCCTCATACATGCTGGGCAAGGGCCTGACCACTGAGCCGCACTCCCAGCCCTTTTTTTCATTTTGCTTTGAGACAAAGTCTTGCCCAGTCTGGCCTAAAACTTGTGGTCCTTGTGCCTCTGTGCCTTTCTTTAACAAATCCTTTCTGTTTTGATGAAAAGCTTGCATGCAGCCACTGTCCCCCAGCCAGTAGATAAACATTTCCTAGTGCTCGGGCGGGAGCTGTGCAGCCGCAGCACACACTGTAGTGTTGTGGGGGTACTTTCTTGGGGTTTCTGCCCAGTCAGCCTTGCAACCCAAACTCTGTTTTCTCGTCTCTTACCCAGACTCTAGAGAAGCTACTGAGAAGTGTGGGTCTTGGGGGCTAATGATGACAACAAAGTGATCAGCCCTCCAGAGACCCCTCAGGGTGCCACAGCCCGGGGCAGGGGTGATCTGAGCTTGTTGAGGTGCTATGTTGGAGGAAAATGGCCTCTTGCTTTGCATCTGCAGCAAAGTCCAGGTCCATCCCAACCCTGGGATGAGGGGTCAAGAGAGTGGGGCTGGCTGGACGGCAGCCCCCAGCCATTCAGTTTCCCTCCCACTCTCTCCCAACTCCCAGGACTTGGGATTACCAGGGAAGGGCCTCCTTCTAGGGCTACTTCTCTCTGAGAAGTTAGGAGGAAGAGAGGGCCTGCCTGGACGGGCTGCAGAGAGGGCACTGGTGTGTCTCTGCCGCCTGTGCTCCCCCCTCCACACTGCCAACAATGACGGGGCCTGGCCAGGGCCATTGTCTTCTGAACCCAACACACAGCCTTATGTGGCCAAGCCAGACACCCAAGGAGCACAACCACAATTCGGACAGAAATGGACCAGAGGACTATGTGAGAGAACCATTGTCCAGTGGGAATGTACCGAGTGGAGGAGAAAAGGGAGGTTACTAGTAACAAGAAGTAAGAGCAGGAGACAGGAATGTAGAGAGGACCAAGTAGAAAGAGAGGTTCTGCAGCCTTTGAAATGAAGAGCACGGAAGCCGGGTCTACAGAGGCCCTCACCAGGGAGCACAAGGAGAGGGGCCAGGACGCGGGGGGGAGGTGGGTGCCGTCACCCAGAAGAGCATCTGCACTGGGAGCAGAATGTGGCAGAGGAGAAAGTGCCGGGGCACAAAGATGCCTCACCCAGAACTGGGAAAGGGGCTTCAGCCAAACAAGAGGAGACGGAAGACACTTGCAGGAAGAAGGTGCATGGGGATGCCACCCTTCTGCCTCACTCTCGGCCCCTTTTCCCTTCCAAGGGTATCTGCCTTCTTCAGGCTGTAAGGACAGTGTTCTTTCCCCGTCCGCACTGTGTGAACTATGCCCCCAGGAAGAGTTGCTGTTGCTGTGACCCAGGAGCTCATGCAGTGAGTCACTGCCCAGTTCCAGCTGGGTGCCGAGTGCCCACACTGAGCTCCACAGGGCACACAGAGACTTGTCTCAGCCCTCATCTTCCAGCTGAAGTTAAAATGTGGCCCTAAAGCAAAAATGCACTTTTTAAATGGGCATTTTTATTTTCTTTCTCTTTTAATAGTAGGGATTGAGTCCCAGTGTACTTTACCACTGAGTTACATCCTAGTATTTTCTTCTATTTTTAATTTTTGAGACAGCATCCAAATTGCCCAGGCTAGCCTCGTACTTGCAGTCCTCCTTCCTTCAGCCTCCTGAGTGCTAGGATTGCAGGCAGGCCTCATCTCACCTGGGCTTCAGTGGGCATTTTGTGCAAGGCAGAGAAACCCTGAGCTTCTCAAGGCAGTGCATGACCCAACGTAAGCCAGGGCCTGTTGTTTTCCCAGAGTTCAGGGACATCACTAGGGCTGTGGGATCCAAGAGGTATCTTGCATGAGCTGAAAGTGGAATCTGAGCATTACTGACAGCACAAGTTTGGAGGAAGCAGAGGTAGCTCCCAGACAGATGTGCCTAGTGCAGGCAGCATCCCAAAGGAGTGAGAAGGGCAGCCCCTCTGGACAGGGAGGATTCAGAGGAGATGGGTGACGTCAGAGGGTGGGCCTGGGGCGACTGCTGAGGCGTATAATGTTCTCATTGCCTACAGCTCTGCGGGAGAGCCCCTGAGCTGTTCACGTGAGTAGATATCTACTCATGAGAGTCATGCTTGTGAAGGTGAGCCAGGTGCCCACAGGAGCCCTGGGACCTCACTGGCTGTAACCATACCAGACCTCATAGGCACATTCTAGAGAAACAATAAAATGAAAGGTAAAAGAGGCAGTGCAACTGGAAGGCAGGAGCTTCTGCAGGAGCACATGGATCCACTGGGGAGCAGGCCCCTGGCCACTCATCTCCCGCCTCTCCTCATGGACTCCTTGCCGTTACTGCTGAGTGCATGCCAGCTCCAAAATAGACCCTGTGCTGCAGCTTCGCTCTCTATTGCCAACCTAGGGCTCACTGGGGGTCAGGGATTCCCAGATCGAGGCAGCTGAATGGACGTGCAGGGAGGAGGGAGAAAGGAAAACAACACCAGTGGAGGCTGGAACGGCCTCCGCACCTGCCCACGCCTGCTCTGCCACACCACTCCCAGATTCTGTGGCCAGGCACAGGCCATTTCATGGAGTTGGTGAGCTCCTCCCTGGCACTGTGTTCTTGCACCCTGAGTTAGCAAGCACAGGCCTCCGCTCGTGAGTGGCCAGGTACTCCAGAGAGTTACTTCCGCTTGGAGGCCAGTCTCCTGGCTCCAGGGCAGGCCCTTGCCCTCCCCAGGGATGTGCTTCTGTTTGCCAAGACATGATGCATTATCTCCATAGCTGCTTGAAATTCTTTTTGGAGTGAGGATATGATTAAATTTCTTTAAAATACACATTTAGTATGACATGCAGTGAAAGACAAATCAAGTTAATACAGTTACCATAAGGCAGACTTTGGATCCGATAAGCCACAGCTGCAGACAATTGTCTTCAGATAGCCACTGCCTAAAACAATCAAGCAGTGTCTTGGGTGGGCAGATCTTTTACCATGAACCACGCTTTGCTATACCAAGGTGCTGAAGTCAGATTAAAGAGAACATGTTGCTAGGCCCTTAGGCTCAAGATGGTAGAAGGGGCACTGTGCACTTCTTGGCAAGAGATGAATTTTAAAACTTTTTTCTTAGAAATGAAGGAGGGAATATAGTTTGTCAGACAGTACTTATTCATGTTGTCAGAGTTAAGGGCTTTATTTTTTTCATTTGAAAGTCTACTTAAGCCAGGCACACTCATGCTCACTTGTAATCCCAGTGACTTGGGAGTCTGAGGCAGGAGGATGGTAARTTCCAGGCCAGCCTCAGCAACTCACTGAGACCCTGGCTCTAAATAAAATAAAAAGGCCTGGGAATGTAGCTTAGTTGTAGGGTGCTCCTGGGTTCAGTTCCCAGTACCCACCCCACAAAAAGTCAGTAATTTTTAATTTAAATGGATCATATATTCTTTGCAGAAAATTTACTGAAAAGTAAAGATAATCCAAGATTTTACCTTGAAAGGTCAGCAAGGGCTAACTTTTCAGTGGCCTGCTTCTCAAGCTGTTCTCTGTGTGTGCTTTTGGATGTTGGTGTTCGTAGCCTGTCACCGTCTCACAGGCAGAAGCCCCAGCGTCCTCAGGCCATGACCTCTGGAAGTGTCCTAGACCGCTGGAAGCACGTGGCGAGTGTCACACTCCCACTTAAGCTGTGTCAGTGCCCTGTGCTCTGCTTAACCAATGCCCCGGCTTTAGGATTTAGGATCCCCCAACATAAAGGCTGGAGAGCTCAGGGTAGCTCTCAGATTGGGTCAGCAGGCTTTCTCTGTGGCGCTTCAGATTGTCAATGGTTTAGGCTTTTGGGGTCAAAAGCCGCAGCACTGTTGTTGTGGTAAGAAAGCTGAGGACATAATGCCAAGCCAGTGAGCACAGCTGTGTTTCAGTACAGCTTTATTTACAAGAACAAGCTGCCATGAGCAGCCGGGGCCATCAGCACAGACCAGACACACTCTGTCTTTCCACAGCAGCAGCAATTTCACACGCCACCTCACTCTCAGCAGTTGCAGTTCATGGAGTGCCCGTGGTCATTGGCAGTCATCGGCTGGACCAACACAGTTTCCTTTGTTCCAGTCTTAATTTCTGATATCTGTAATACCCAAGTCACACATTATGCTTTATACAGTGAGATGTGTGGATTTCYAAAATGTGGTCACGGGGTCTTAGGAGGCTGCTCTGAGAGCAAAGGCAGGTAGCAGATACAAAATCAAGTCACTGCAGATGGTCAGAAAAGATTATGAACCAGCCCAAAAACTTGCTCAGAGCCCAGAACTTACCCTAGACTAGGGTCCAGATGACAGGCAGTTCAGAAGTAGACCACATGTGAAGCAGGGAGCTGAAGCTGGGTTGAAGCCTGGGGTTAGGGTTGGGGCAGAGGGCTGTAGGGCCATCACTGGTCCATCTCCTGATGGGTTGGTTCATCATGTG